CAGTGCTCCCTAGTCTTCCTTTAGCTTGCGCCTGCGCGACCTTCTCCAGCGCCAGCGCCAGAGCTGTTTGATGTCGCACTTTAAAATCATATAAATCATATTTTATATGTATGTATGTGCATTTGATTATGATATTTGCTAGGCCATACCAGAGCTGTTGACTTATATTTCCAGTCTCCACTCAAATAAATATATATAAATCTCATTTGATTTATGTGCGCAACGTTTTCGCTCATTTGTTTTTGCATCGCATCGCACCTGCAGCAATCTGATCAAAAATACCTTTGAATATCATAAATTGCCTTTGATATGATTTATATATAAATTCTATATATTTTTGTTTTAATTTATTAATTTTGTTTTAGTTTTTTTATTTGTTTGTTTGTTTATCTTGCTGCTCAAAATATATTCGTATATACATATATAATAATATTTTATTTATTTGTAATATTTCTAAATTTGGAATAATATTTATGAATTTTGATTTAAAAAATAATAAAAAACATCAAAAAAAAATGTTTTTTGTACTTTTATTTAGTATTCATAATATATTCAAAATCTTAAAAGATAATATTTGTTGTATATTATATTTATTATTATATTCCATTTTTATATATTTAAAATTGTAATTTTTAAATAACTAAAAAAAGATTTAACAACAAAATTTTTTGTTTAATTTAAGTCACAAATATTCAATAATATATCATATAAAAATGTTATGTTAATAAATAGATATAAGCTTTAAAAAGCCGTTCAAAATTTAAAGCCATTTATGTTCATATAAATAAAGTAAATTTCTTATTAACAAATTTTGTTTAAGTTTTAAAGCATGTTTATCTAAAAACAAAGACTTTTATGTGATCTTCAGCTGCTCCGTTCATATCGTCTTTATCTACTCTAGATTATATATTAAAGATGCACTATTCTAGTCTTTCGGTACTCTAGATTATACAATAAAGACGCACTATCCTAGTCTTTCGGTAAAAAAGAAAATGTCTCCGATTAGGTTATACGGTAGCTGGTTCACTAAGACTGACTTGTTTTTGGTCAAATGTATTATACAGATTCATTTCGACAGCTTTTGGTATAGGAAAAAATCAAAGAGGACTCAGCATTCGTAATAGCTGAACTTTTCGGCATAGCTGAGAATATGTGTGCCAAAGTAGTCCGATAGTTTTTATGCGATAGTTTTTGAATAGAGCTCGTATAGTTACTTCATGTTGCATATTAAAACAGTATAACCAAATATGTTTATATAAGTACAGCAAGTACTTAATACATGAAGTTCGTATACATATATCTAAAAAAATATCAGCTAGGATTATCTCTATATTTAAACATCAATTCAATTTCTATAAACTCACTTGCTTTTCCTCATTGACAGCCTGCATACAGACGGCTGGGAAGGATCGCAGCTCGTACAAGCCGCTGGAACAGATCGATGCGAAGCTGGCGGACATCGATGCGCAGAGCACGGGCAGCAATAGCACCAACAGCAGCAGCAACATCAGCAACAGCAGCAGCAGCAGCCACTCGAATGGCGCCGCCAATTGCCAGGAGCAAACTGATTATGCTGCTGGCAGCAGCAGCAGCAACGGCAACAGCAACAACAACTGCAGCAGCAACAGCAGCAGCAATGAAACGGCAACTGGTGCAGCAGCAGCAGCAACGGCATCAGCAGCATCAGCAGCAACATCGACGGCCAACAAAAAGTATAAAAACAGCCACAAAAAAGACAACAACACAGCAAGCAGCAGCAACACGTCAAACAACAGCAGCAGCAGCGGCAGCAACAGCAACAGCAGCAAAAACAATAACAATAAAGGTGTAAGTACTTCACTCTTACACCATTCCCAATCGATACTAAATGCCATTCAAACAGTTGCCAATGTAACATGCTCATGTCAAAGTCCATGTTAGTTGACAGCTGCAATTGCCATGAATATTTTTGCTCAACAATGTGTTGAAATCTTGTCTGTTTGTCATTTCAAATAAGGCACCATTAAATTATAATATTTACTAATAGGCGTCAACTAGTTTTAGCTACAGCTAAAAAATATTCAGCAACTGTCTTGTCAAATTTAACATGCAGTTGCCTTGCAGCATGACAAAATAGCTGCAAAATTTGATAGCTGAGTAGGTCTTGCTGTGGCTCTGTCCACATGTTTGTATATCCCTCTAAGTCATACTTAGATGCCTATTATTTGATATATGTGTATGTATGACCTTTTATTCAATATAAAGTACGAGCTTATCATTTGTTTTTCTCGATAACTTATTCCATTTCCATTATATCAATGATAATAGTCGGCTTATCAAGCATAATATAAAGTCGGTAAGAGTTTGACTGTGTAGATTCGACTCTTGGACGAAAGTTTATTATAGGTTTCAAATATCTCTTATTCAGGCATTCCCGACTAGAACATTTTTATAAGTTCTTATGATAAGTACTCTGCTTCCTGGATATAAATATATTTGTTATGTTTTCTAATAGAGCTTGCTGGGAATATGATAAATAATATATCTCTCTATACATATATATCTCTCTATATAATATCTCTCTCTATATAGTCTTCTATCTTCTTTATAATAATTCCTACTGTTTCTCATTTTGAACCTAATATCCATGATTTCGAACCTCCCTCACTTTGTTTAGGAGCCCGAGCCCGTGCATCCATCGCTGGCGCAGGCGATTGTAGTGCTGGAAACGAAGGCATTGTGGGATCAGTTTCATGCCCAGGGCACCGAGATGATTATCACAAAGACGGGCCGTCGCATGTTTCCCACATTTCAGGTGCGAATCGGTGGGCTCGATCCGCACGCCACCTACATCTGCATGATGGACTTTGTGCCCATGGATGATAAGCGCTATCGCTACGCGTTCCACAAGTAATTATAATACGAAACCGAGTGCAGCGGGTCTCAGTAAATCTCGGGTCATCTAATCACATCTACAACCCCATCTGTGTCTTCTGCAGCTCGTGCTGGGTGGTCGCTGGCAAAGCGGATGCCATATCGCCGCCGCGAATACATGTCCATCCCGATTCACCGGCGGCCGGCGCCAATTGGATGAAGCAAATTGTGTCCTTCGACAAGCTGAAGCTGACCAACAATCAGCTGGATGAGAATGGGCATGTGAGTATGGGCATTTAATTGGGTCATAAATTTATGCTTGGCTTTGTTTATGCGAGGCATAAAACATTTGGTAGCTGCCACCGCACCAAACGACAACAACAACAACAACAAATGATTATTATTCGTGCTTGTTGTTGTGGTTGTGTTTGGAAAGCTCTAAACAAAAAACCGGCAGCCGCCATCCGATAGCACTCGGCATTCGTAGAACACATGTCATGCGCTCTCTCAGCCCTCGCTCACGCTGTCCACAATTACCATTCCATTCCGCAGATCATATTGAACTCGATGCATCGCTACCAGCCGCGCTTCCACTTGGTCTATTTGCCGCCAAAGAATGCCTCGCTGGATGAGAATGAGCATTCGAGTCACTTTCGCACATTCATATTCCCGGAGACCAGTTTTACGGCCGTAACAGCCTATCAGAACCAGCGCGTGAGTATAAACCCATGGGCATCGGTAGGGGCATGAGTAGGGCCATGGGAACCGGGCATTTAGGCGGGATGCGGGCCCCACTTGACCCACTTGTCGTCGGACCCACTTGTAAATGACAAGCGCCAATGCTTTTCAGTTTTTACTCAAATTAACATTTCTGTAACATTTTGTGGTCGACAAGATTTTTGGGTCTCCCCCAGCCACGCCCAGCGATTGTTGAATGTTTTTAATTTCTTGTCTTCGTCATGTTTATTAAAGTTGAAAATTAGTTTCTAACTGAACGCAAATATTTAGCATTTCGCATGATTAACGACCGCCAGATACACTATAAATACATTTTGGAGAGCTACATAAACAAAATATATTTATCTATAAATGAGCACCTTAACAAATTGCTTTTTGCTTAATATCTAAACGATATTATTTATAGCGCGTGCTTATAATAAATAAGGTTTTTGTATATCGTATAACAATAAAAAAAATTCCATTTAAATTGTATAAATTATATATTAATATTCAAGAAAAATTTTATGGTATATACATTTGGAGAAATGTAATAATTATCAGCATTTTATATAATGAGAAACTGTTAATGAAATATATACATATATGAGCACATATTTTTTTTTATAGAATTCATACCCAAATTGTATGACATTTGGTTTATTTTGAATTTAAAAAAAATATTTTTATTTAAAAGAAAAATATTTGTATTTAAAAAAAAAAAAAACAAAATTTAAAAATTAAGAAAAAATATTTTTTATTTATTCAAAAAAATTTAAAACAATTTTTGAAAGATATTTTATTTTTTTAATTATATATTTCTAACATTACGTGAAAATATCTAAACATTTGCTTGCCTAATTTTGCATTTAATTTTTACTTAAAAAAAAAAAAAAAACATTCAATACAAATTTTTAGCTCTGGTTAATAATTTAGAAAAAAAAATTGACTTTTTTATTACATTACCTACTATAGTTAAAGAACTCCATTTATACAGAGACAAGAAAATCATATTTATATTCATAATTCTCCAAGAATTAAAATAAGGAAAAAATACATATATGTAAATATGTGTATATGTATGTGTGTGTGTATATATGTATTAAAAAATATTTGTGGTATTTTATTTTTAGCGCCATTTGAACGAAAGTATTTAAATTATTTATGCGCTCGACGTGGGTGTTAACACTTTTCGTTCCACAATTTATTGCAAATAAATTTTGTGTGTGTGTTGTTGTTGTTGTTGTTGCTTATGTAGTTTGCTGTTTGTTGGCTTGAATGCTTTGTAAACATTTTCTAATTTGTTGCATTTATATTGTAATAAAAGCAACAGCACAATGAATATTATTAACACAATTGGGGCCAAAACAATTTCCCCAGAATTTATAACAATTTCTATATATATATTATTTTGTATTTATAAATTAAAAAATATATATATATGTATATTCTTATGCATGCAGGTGACACAACTGAAAATATCGAGCAACCCGTTCGCCAAAGGATTTCGAGATGATGGCACCAACGATGTGTAAGTAGGCCAATATGGTATTTCTCTAAGCAACTACCTAGTCTATAAGTCCGCTAGAGCTTAACTAGAAAATATATAATATAGTATGTAAAGTATAAATGATTCAGGCAAACCAACAAATCTTGTTTAAGCCTCAGCAAAATATGACAAGAACTAAAGCCTTAAAAACTATTTATACAAATTACAAAAATATCAAAGAAACGGCAGATTGAAGCGAGACGACGCATGCATACCCTCTAAAGGTATTGAGGTTATGTAAGAGATACAAACATACATATATGTATACTAAAGTAAATATACGCTTGATTAGGATGTAGAGCTGATCTTAATCGTTTGTCCGTCCGTCCACATGAGCTAGAGACTATTTACATATGCATGAAGGAAACATATTGTGATACATCAGCTCTTTTGCAGGGTTCAGGGGATCTTCCAGTCGAGCAGCCTCAACCGTAACACTCTTAGTTGTTTTATTTATCAAATGGAAACCTTAATAGATGTTTGTAATATAATTTGTTATGAAATCGACCCACTTAGAGACAATGCCCAAATTTATTGTCGAACACAATTCAAATCCAAGCGGTCCGCCAGACAGTCCGTCGACTGGCTGCCGTTGCCGTTGCCGTTGCCTTTGCCGCTGGTTCAAGTCATTCCGGGAATTGCCGACGCGTCGCATCTACAAAAATAAAACACACATATGAAACAATAACTCAAAATGGGTGCGAGAACTTCAACTTAGAATGTGGAGCATAAGCATCTCCGGCTAGCTATGATGGGCCAGCTGACAGACATGCCAGCCAGCCAGCCATAAACAATTTTTTTTTTTGTCTCTCGCCTTTTTTCATATTTCGGCCGAGGGTCGATTGTAAACAAAAAAAAAAAAAAAAGTTGAAGCGTTTCTGAATGTTTATCAAAAATGTGAAATTTTGAATTTGAAATTTTAATTGCAGCACCAGCGGCAGCCTGGGCATGTCCAGCATGAGCCATGAGAGTCAAGCCCGCATGAAGCAGCAGCAGCAGCAGCAGCAGCAGCAACATCAGCAACAGCAACAGCATCAGCTGCAGCAGCAGCAGCAGCAGCATCAGCATTTAAAGGCCAAGGACCGAACGCCGCCAAACAGCTTCAGCTTGTCCTGCACGGAGCTTGTGGAGCAGCAAACGGCAGCAGCAGCAGCAGCGGCGGCAGCAGCATCGGCAGCAGCAGCCGCCGCAGCCGCAGCAGCAACAACAACTCAGTTGGGCATGCAGCTGCCAGCCACGCCCTCGAGCAGCTCAACCTCAGGCAATTCGCCCGATCTGTTGGCCTTTCAGTTGGAGGCAACACCGCTGCAGCAGCAACAACAACAACAGCAGCAGCAACAGCAGCATTTGCTTCAGCAACAATTGCAGCCAGCGCAGCAACACCCACAGCATCAGCAGCAACATCAACAGCTACAGCAGCAGCAGCAACAGCAGCAGCAGCAGCAGCACCAGCACCAGCAACAACAGCAAAGCCTTCATCAAATGTCCAGCAGCTATGGCGGCAACTATCATCATCCCTATCAGCATCATCAGCATCAGCATGCGGCAACGCCATTGACGCCGCTGTCGGCCAGCTCCGCATCCCCGCCAGCGCCGGGCGCGGCGGCTGCCGCTGCTGCAGCCACTCAGGTGATGGCAGCGGCCAACATCTACTCCAGCATCGGGCAGCCGTATGCGGGAGAGCAGAGCAACTTTGGTGCCATTTATCATCACAATGCGGCGCACTATCACAGCCATGGATACGGCAGTCCCTACGACAAGCTCAAGGTCTCGCCGGGTCACATGCGACAGGCGGCAGCCGCAGCGTACGGTATGAGCAGCTATCAGAGCTTCTATGGCAGCGCCGCGGCCGCCCATCAAATGATGCGGCCCAACAGCTACATCGACTTGGGGCCGCGCTGACAAGCGCCGGGAGAGGGTCAAGCTATGCCAAGTATTATTCTATATATAGTCAGTCTGGGGCCTGCACTCAAGTATTACAAGTATTTTCAACTAATCCAAAACTCAAGCTCAACTCTAATAATTATTATTAAATATAATTGTCTCACATTATATATATATATATATTTTTTTTTTTCTAGTATTAAGCGACAGTTTTGTGTCTAGTTCAAAAGTATGCCAAAAATGTATCGTAATTGTAAACAAATTCTAGTATGTAACAACAGTTTTTTTTTTTTTTTTTTTTTTTTTTTTACAAGTCTTTCATACCAAATGCGCTCGCATTGCCTTTGAATTGTTATTAAACTGTAATATTGTGTAAGTTTGCTAAGTGTTCTATTTAATTCGTATCTCTATCTCTCTCACTCTCACTCTCTCACTGTATCTCTGCCCCTTTCACTCTCATTTCCTTATTGTTCTTTGTACATATATAAACATTTAAATGCTGCAAACAGTTTCAACAACAATAAAAAAGCCAAATCTAAATTAACAAGAAAGCAAAAATGGATATTTTCTTAGCTAACGCTGAAATGAGCGAGCCAACAAAATGGCCGCCATTGTTTACGTTGTTCGCTCTCTGGGCATCTCTCGCGCTCTCGCGCTCTCTCACTCCCACACTCATGGTCCGCCGGCTCTTTCGCTCGCTGTGTGTAAACAAACAGTGCCATTGCCTTAATTACAGTTAACCAACGAAAGAGCGTGTACACACTTCCACACAGACACACCTTACTCATCAGGCCTTGCCTTGGACTTGCGGTTGTTTGGTTTGGCCTGCATGGAAACCAATTTGATAAGCTGCAAACGTTGACAAATAAAAGTCAATATTCTGTCATGGAATTTGTCTAAGCTGAGCACCTGCATATTTTTCTTTATCAAGGTAATCAATGCTTTAAATATTTATTTTCAGAGAATTTTCGTAGGCACAAAGCGTTTCGTTAGAGTTTGACTGGAAAGTTTAAATTGCGAATTTGACTTAAGCTTCTTCGCTTTACTCATCTCCTATATTAAACTAAATGTTAGTAACAAATATATATGTATATATATATATCAATTATGATAGATGAGCGTTAAGTATATAGATGTATAATATAGCAAATGCAGGAAATAGTTCCAGACTTACAAATTGTTTCATTTTTGTTTCATAATTGATTTATTTTTTTTGTTGTCTGTTCATGTAACAGACATACATACATACATATACCTAGTATAATCTCGATTATATACAGATTTTTCATTTTTTGAGATAACACACATCACGTGTAGTAAAGCAAGAAAATAAGCTCATCCGCAATATATGTACATATGTAGATTCCCTACTCGTAATATTATCTGAGAATGATTAATAGCTTTGCCAAGAATATTACTAAAAAATATTGAACATGCCAATCGCAGCCACGCCTGTAAATAAAATATGTGTATATATGTACATACATATACATACATACTTAAGTATATGGTACAGTCATACGAACTAATCTAATCAGTGCTCGATTATCGAACGCAGGAACGTATATCTATAGGTAGTAAGCTATATATGAGTGCTCGAGCTATATGATTTTACAAAATATATACCATTATACATATATTATACATATACCATATTATACATATACATATATTAAGGCGTGGGACCGCTCGGTGCGTTAAACCATGTGCCATGTGTTGCCGTTATCATTAGTAACGGTACACTTTATGACGTTTCCATGTCAGACTACAAATACACATGCACTTACATGTAGATATGTAGATCTATACTACCTATACACCTAGTATTGGAGCTACGTCTCGTTCATCTATGCGATTTCACACGTTGTCAGGAAGCAAACACAAAAAAAAAAGAAAAAAAAAAAACAACCAAGTGACAAGACGTCAAAACGCGACATTCATTAGTCACAATAGAAATCCATAAAAAAAAAACAGCACCAAATATTCAATACAAAATATATACATACTATACTATACTATACTTATAAATAGCTAAAAAGTGACGTATTGCTATGGGGCAGCAGCCTGGTATCAAGAGATTGATTATATAGCACTATTGAACTTTGGCCGTGTCGCCCCGGCCCAATGTTCCGGGCAATTTCTAATGGATGATGATCATCAAAGAGCTGTCACACATACGTCATGCTCGCACGGGGTCCGTTTATCCAAGTTTTTCGCAGCGTCTAAAATTTAATACCGCCATTCGATGTTGTTGCTGTTGTTGTTGTTGTTGGCTCCATAAATAAAATCAAATTGGCATGCATTTGGGCATTCAGTTGAGACACGATCTCGAGCTGGGAGCACATTAATTTCTCAACACTTGCATAAAAATTCAAAAAAACAAAAACAATAACACCAAAAGGCAACAGCAACAACAACAACAACAACAAGAACACCAAGAAGAAGCAACTGATTAAAGCAGATGTGTCACTGAAGGCGGGAGGCAGCCAGGCAGTGGAGAAGCTGAGGGTATTACGTAGACCACAACTGCAACTACAATGGAAGAGCGCCTTTGCATGTGTTGTCCTATGTAATACTCTCTATCCCTAGTCTTTTGCTTTAAATGTCATTTAAATGTCAATGATTCACCGTAAATGCACTTGGGATTATCAAAAATACGGTAATATGATGATATCCATATTGGAAAGTAAAAATTGTTTCTTTATCAATTATGGGTAGAATATGTGACCAAGTGATATATAGTTTACCCATAGCAAAAATAAAGTTGAAAATTATTATTCGAAATATTTGAACCAAAAAAACTGAATAGATAAACACGTATATAATAGATAGAATATGATATAATAGATTATAATATAAAAGATTATAATATAAAAGATTAAAAAGATTATAATATAAAAGATAAAAGATGTATGTAAGTGTAAGTTGAATAGATAGACATACATACATATACATAAATAGAGCAATACAAAATTACGGATAGTTTTATCAATAGTTATTTATTTATGAAAAATTAGAATTAATTTAAAATGAAGAATTATTTATTAACTAATCATTCTCTTAGACGGTAAACATTTAGTCAATGCTATGGACTGATTCAAATCTAAGATAAGTCATGAAATTGGCAGCTCTGCACTTGGAATTTCTGTCTGTCTTTCTAGAATTTCGATTCGTTTTATTGACTTCCTCTTGTAAATCAAATAGTATGTATGAGTGGAGTTCTCTGTAACTAGCACCTGCCCATATACGCATCACCCGATGAGTAGTTAAGTCCATGGAATGTGATTCATTGCGTGCATTAGCAAATGTGACGCAACAGAGAAGTGTGAACTGAATAAGAGAGTATATAGATATCAGCAAAGATAAGACCTAGAATACATGGTATGGTATATAGTGTATATGGGTGTCTTAGCTTTATGCTGTAGCTGGCTATAGCTGGCAAGGCCTGATAAGCCTTATCGATGAATGACGTGAAGTAAGCGTTTAGCTCGTATCTATAAACATATATTGGCCTAGGATTGCAAGGCCAACTGCAAGAAGATGATGATGATGATGATGATGGTGATAATGGTGATAATGGTGATAATGGAGTGGACAGACGCCAGGCACTTGAGCTAGTCTCTGGCCATTAGATCGTGCGACCCTTTGAAAGTTGATTTCGGGATGCCACTGTAAAATGACTATCGGCATTCAATATTTGAATATTTATGGCTGACATGCACTGCGGTAGGTCGCACAGCTATGTGCGTGTGTGTGTGTGTGTGTGTCACTGTTGTAGGTGTGCGGTGTGTCGCCTGGTCGAGCGAGATTTGCGTTCGTCCCCGTCGTCTGCTGGTGTCAAATGGCTTCAAGGATTTCAAGTGGCAAAACAACAACAACAACAACAACAGTAACAACAACAACAACAGTAACAACAACAACAATTACAACTGCAACTGCGACTGTGTCATTGTTGTTGCCTTTGCCTGTTGCCAGCGTCTGTTATTCTTATCAATTTCACTCTGCCGTTGCTGTTGTTGTTTGCTGCTTTAGTTGTTGTTGCTGTTGCTACGTTTTCCGCACTAAACTCAAGGCGCGTCCATAGCTAATCGCTTTGAAAGTGAAACCGTGTTTATATTTTGCTTTAATTCATTTTCCCGCTTTGCCATTGACACTTGAACCTTTGTTTATGCGTGCCTCGCGTCTGTTTGGTATTCTACATCCAGTGCACGTCTCTTCCTCTCTCTGCGATCCCAAATACCCTGTAGCAGATGTGCAGAGACTCGACTTCGTACCGACTTGACTCTGACATATAGCTAATCTTACTGCAAGTTGTTTATGGTTCGGTTTACGAGAGTTGGAGTTGACTTGATTTTGGCTGGAACTTATATATAAGTTAAGCTCTCCCACACTAGAGCTTTAGTGATTGGGTATGCTGTGTTGGGTTCTTGTGAATATAAAGAACTTTGTGTTCAATGAAATAATATATTTTATATAATTTAGTAGCAATAGATGTAAACCCTCTCTAGTCCGAATACAAACCGATCCCAAATCAGTTCTACTCATTGGGTTCTCCCCTTGAATGTCTGACTGAACTCTCCAGCCTCCTTAGATTGTCGATAATCTTATAAATATATATGCATATATTGGTTCTTATATCTCTGATATTTACTCCTAGTCTTAATATACTCCTACACGAAGTGAATACAATGTTCATCGTACTGTCCGTCCGTCTGGCTGTCCGTCTAGCTGTCCGTCTAGCTGTCCGTCTGGCTGTTCGTCCGGCTGTTTGACACATGTTCATATATGCTCGTCTATGAATTGCCTATCTTTCATGGTAGCCCCACTGGGAGCATGACAAATCTAGAAATTACTTGTGTTGTATAGGTGCTGGATTTTTCAAATTAAAAAAAATCTATACTAGTGCTGACATTCCAAGATCGATACTAGACATCGGCTCAACGATTTTCAAGGCTTAGAAAAGTTTTATCCCATTGACCAAAAATATAATTTTACTAAAACTAACTAAATTATTGATATAAAGCATTTGCTTTAGTTATGCTGGTTAAAAATAAGTTGTATATGATATTAGTTTTTTTTTTTTTTACGTTGTTAGCTTGACGTTTATTCTGTAAAAAACTTGAAACACACTTTTTGGAAATGGAAAATTATTAGATGGAAATTTTAGATGTATAAATTTTTGATAGAGTTTGCCCTATAATGAAAGGTGATTTTTTCAGACTTTGCATGAAACTTTATTTTCATCTGAGAATATTTAAGATTTGATATACATATACTTATACACATATTATAATGGTCTAGCTGAGGATGGAAATTATAGAAAACATCAATTTTACTGGAGCATATCATTCATATATTAATCAGTCAGAACTGCCCAAAACTTCTCGCTTTTTATGATTATTAAATTGTATACTAAACTTCTAGATAGTTAGGTTTGAGCCACAATTGTATGTAAACCTGAATTGGCCTTAAAGGTTATTAATGTAACTGTAAAATATAAGGATATTCTCTATTCAATTATGAATCTTTAATCATAATTTAATATCAATTTTTCTTGAATCAAAATCTTTAGGCAGAGTTCAGATTGCAGTCAACGAACATCCAATTAGATTAACTGCTCTATTGTGCAGGGTATGCTTTAGTCTCCTCATATATACGTATGTGTATGTATATACTATATATAAATTTACATATGCCT